ACTTCTTAAAGATACTAAACGTTAGCGGGGCGCAATGGCACAGGCCTGTAATCCCAGCACTCAGGGAGGCAGAGGCAGGCGGATCTCTGTGAGGTCCAGGTCAGCCTGGTTCTCAAAGTGAGTCCTGGACAGCCAAGACTACACAGAGAAACCCTGTCTCAGAAAACAATAAAAAAAAACAAAAACTAAACATTTGAGATGAATCGCTTGCAACTCCTTACCATTACCATAGTGTCTTATTGTAAGGAGAGAATTCCGTTAAAATGAGCAATTTAATGTTGTAGGCTCGATTGTTAGACACTTTTACTGTGGCATTTTTACTGCTTAATTAATCTATGCAGAGATGTCTTAAGTTCTTGACGGCCTTTCGGGGCTCTCATATACAGCTCATGATGCCATTATCAGAGGTCTTTCTCTCATTTTCCTACCTTTACTGCCAGTGCGTGAGTCCAACCTCATTCATATACTTGAACTCAAGTCCATCTCAGTTATAAACTTTAGAATATGGGGTTAATATAGTTAATGATAGCGTGGGTGTTCTTCAGGTTCTAGGTTTTCCCTTTCTTCTTTCTTTCTTTTTTATTTCCTTTCTCCTCTCCCTCCTCCTCCTTCCATCCCCCCTCACCCCTATGAGGGACCACAACGCATGCTAGACAAATGTGCTGCCTGAAATACATCCAGAGCCCTAACAAACAAACAAACAAACAATGTTCACAGGGGGGAGGCAGACAGTGTCAACTACTTCATGAGTTTGTGGTGAGATTTTGAAAATAAATGTGAGGTCTACACCCTGATGAGGAAGGAGCAGAGAGAAATCTATGCACATAGCAAAAATGTGAAGCAAAGACAAAGACAGAGGCTGAAATTCAGAGGAAAGCAAACGAGAGGTGGCGCTGAGCTCACGGGGAGAGGGCAGTGAGTAACTCCACTGGAGGAGCCCTGTTACTCTGCCTGGATTATTTTTAACCTTTTGTGTCTGGTTTGCATTGCTAGGGAAGCAGCTAGCGTTCTGCCTCAAGGAGCACAGCTGTCTCAGCAGCTGTCAATCTACAGGCCTGAAAAAAAGCACCCAGCAAAGACCTCCCTACCTGGGAGGAACATGCTGAGGAGAGGAAACTGGAAACAGGCCCCTAGCTAGAGTTGAGGGACACAATGGATCTAGGGACCCAAAAAACAAGTCAGGATTGTGCAGTTCCGCCCACCATGGCTGGAATCTTTTCTTTTTTTCTTTTGTTTTTGAGACAGGCTTTCTCTGTGTAGACTTGGCTCTCCTAGACTCGCTTTGTAGACCAGGCTGGCCGCAAACTCACAGTGATCCGCCTGCCTCTGCCTCCCTGGGTGCTGGGATAAAAAGCATGGTGCCACAGTGGCTGGAATCTTAAGACAGAAATGGCCTATTATATCTTCCTGTGCTTTGGATATAATTCTTTTACTTGTGTCACATCCTTCTCTGCTAAAGTCCCAGGATACCTCTTCTTCATAATAGGAGCCTCCATTCCCAATACATACTCATAAACATACACATACACACACACAGACACACGTACATACACATGCTACCCACAGTATGTGGAAAAACAAAATTTTTAGGGCAGTGAGTATAGTTCTGTGGCTCAGCACTCACTAGCATGTACAAAGCTCCAGGTTCAATCCACTGCAAAGGTTTTTCCACTTTTCCTGTCTAGCTAACGCAAAGTTTAGTTAAATATAAAGGATTTATTGCTAAGAGATGAAGCGCAAACTGTTTAAACCTGGCTGGATTCAAGAAATATCTGTGCTTATTATTATATGCCGAGCTTAGTTGTGCTAAGTGTTTATTGTTGTTGTTGTTTTGAGGGGGGTCTTATTACATGGCCTGGCTGGCTCAGAATTCTCCGTGTAAACCAGGCTGACCTCCAATACACAAAGATCCACCTGCCTCTGCTTCCCGAAAAGTTCTGGGACTAAAAGTGTGTACCACCGTGCCCAGCTGCTAATGGTTTTTATATGCTAGTGAGGAACAATACACGGGGAGGCTGTACGATGATTATCACAGTAAATTATTATTTCAAAATAAAGCCATTATTGCCAGACCCTCAGACAGGACAGTCATGAATTTGAGGCCAGCTGCAGCTACATAGAGATTTCCAGGTCAGCATGGTTACACAGCAAGACCATGTCGGAAAAAAAAAAAAAATTGTCTTCCCAAAAGTCAGGGACTTATCACTTGTATTGCATTGTTACCAAAACATGTACTCAGTGATAGTACGTTGATGGCACATGAATATTCACAGTAGTGCTAACCACCATGGCACCAAAGTGGAACATACCCAAATTTCAATCCACACGTGAATGAATAAACAAAACATGCTACACCCACACAGCAGAATATTGCTTGGCAGGAAAAAGGAAGCAACTACTGATCCTTGGAGGAATATGGTAGTCACTCTGTTCAGTGAGAGAAGTCACCCAGGAAGGAGAAAATGGGATTCGTATGAAATGGCAGAAAGTTGGGATAATCTGCCTTTACAGAGAGAGGGTCAGCCGCGGCCTGGGTGAGAGGAGAAACAGCATCAAATAGCGACAGAGAAACTTTAAGAAGCCTAAGAAATGCCTTGGGCTCTAATCGCATGGCAGTCTGGGCTGTGGACCTGTGAGCACTCACAGAGCTTCAGATTTTAAGTGAGCGGAGCTTACTGTGCAAATCATAGCTCCACAACAACAAAAGTGAAAGAACGGTTTCAATTCTCGGGCATCAAAACCGTATTCAAATCTCTGAACTACTTCTCCCTCCCACCGAAGCCCCAACTCTCTGCACTTCCACCCGTCACCACGGTGTGGCAGTGCTGTCCCTACAAGTGTTGGGCGCTGTTCTATCTATCATCAGCATCTCCCAGGTCCTGGGTTATTACCAAGCACACAGCTTTAACAGCGAGTGCATGGGAAGATGGCTTTGTGGGAACAGCGCTCACCACGAAAGCAGGAGGACCCGAGTTTGGCTCCCCAAAAGCAAGCACCTGTAATCTGAGTGCTTCTAAGGCAAGACGGGAGGTGGAGACAGGAGAACGCCAGGAAGCTTGGGAGCCAGTTAGCCTACACACACACACACACACACACACACACACACACACACACACACACTCGCACGCATGCACGCATACATGCATACATACAACACAAAGATTTTTTAAATTATTTTTTAAGTGTGTGTGTGTGTGTGTGTGTGTGTGTGTGTGTGTGTCCTCAGAAGTCAGGGGTGTTGGATGCCCTGAAGCCGGGAGTGACAGTTGGTTGTGACACACCTGATATGGGTGCTGGGTCTAGAACTCAGATCTTCCGAAAGAGCCGCAGTACCTGCTCTTAACTGCTGGGCCATCTCTCCAGCCCCCCAAAAGATTTCATTTTTAAAGAAAGAGGAAGGAGAAAGGACCCCGAGGGTCTGGAGGTGGAGCTCAGATGGTGGAGAACCTGGCAGCATACACAAAGCCCTGGGTTAGGTCCCCAATGAGGGGGGGGGCGCCTGTGACTCCCAGCACCTGGGAAGTGGGGCTTCCTGCCAGCCCAAGCTATAGCAGACCTCATCTCAAAACAGACAACAACAGTAAACAAACCCAACAAAGCCCAGAAATGAAAACCCAGAGACCCAAGGAAGGGCTGTCGAGATGGCTTAGCAGGTTAAGGCACCTGAGGCCAAACCTGACCACCTGAGTTTGACTCCCCGGAACTCACATGATGGAAGCAGAGGGCCGACTTTCGAAAGCTGCCCTCTGACCTCACATCATGCACATCAACAATAATAAATAGGCATAAGTTTTTTTTAAAGACACAGAGGAAACTGTCTATCATATTTCTGCCCAAGAAGAATAGGTACTATGTAGAGATGTGATTGCAAGTCAGTGTGACCGAAACTGACCCTGTGCTTACCGAGGGAGGGGGACAGCGAGGTCGGTAGCATTCCTTTTTCTGATGCAGGACAGGACCCCCATGGAACACTGGTCTTCAAGGACCTTTCTTTTCTCAGTAGCTCAGCGGCTTTAAGATCCTGTTCTTCCTTCCTCCACCCCTCAAGTGCTGGGGTTGGAGTGGTGTGTCAGCGTGCCTGGCTGGGACGACATTTCTAGGTTTTCTTTTGCCCTGTCTCGTGGTACTGGGGGCTGGAGCTAGAGCCTCACACACGATAGACCACTGCTGTATGGCTGAGCTGTGTCCTTGCTGTAGAGTCCAGGCTGGGATCGAACCTCCAGCGATCCCCCCGAGTGCTGAGCTTACAGGCACGAGCAACCTCACCTGAGCCTTGCCAGGTTTTATGACTTGTTTTGGGAAGAGTTCCAGCTCTGCAGTGCTCTTGGGGTATTGGGATAGGAGAAGGGCAGAAGGTTAGAGAGACAGTGTCTAAGGCGGCGGTGCCCAGCACCTTTCAGTCTCAGGATGTCAGAGCTTTTTTCTGATATACTTTTTCTCAGTCCGAATAGAACTTAACAAATTTACACGATTAGTTAAATATGGAAACTGAGGAAGACAAAGTAATCAAGGGGGCTACAGAGAGACAGCTGGGCTTAGAAAGATGGCTCAGTGGTTAAGAGCACTGGCTACTTTTCCAGAAGTCCTGAGTTCCAGCAACCTCGTGATGGCTCACAACCATGTATAAGGGGGTCCAAAGCCCTCTTCTGGCCTGCAGGCGCGCATGTAGACAGAGCGTTCATACATAAAATACATAAATAAATACATTTAAAAAATAAAAATTAGCTGGCTGTGGTGGTACACGCCTGTGATCCCAGCACTCTGGGAGGCAGAGGCAGGCTGATCTCTGTGATATGAGTTCCAGGCTAGCCTGGTCTACAAAGTGAGTCCAGAACAGCCAGGACTGACACAGAGAAACCCTGCCTCTAAAACCCAAATAAACAAACAAACAAATAAATAAATATTAATTAAGGGTAATTTCCTAGTTTGCTTACTGCAGGGGGGGAGGGGTGGACCAGGGGTGCGGGATGCCTGTTGCTTCATCCTGTAGAAGACGAAATATGGTGGTGGAGGCAGAAGGAAGAGTTGGAAATACAAGGGTAAGACTGAAAAATGGGTCATTTTACATCATCCTTAGCGCGAAGACAGCTGCCGAAGGTGACTGTCGTGGGGACTGAGATAGGTTTAGGGCTCTCCCAGTGGGTCTCAGTTTGGAGCAGGGAAGGATGGATGGATTTGAGGCTGAGAGGCACCTAACTAGCACGCAGACAGCTGTAGGTTCAGCAACAACAGCAACAATAATAATAATTAGAGCTGAAGGAAGAACATGGCGACAGAGAGGCCACGCCCTGAGTTTCTTCTCTCCTTCACAGCCTTCTGATGAAGCAAAAGAAGTTTCTTTATCACTTCAAAAATGTCCGCTGGGCTAAAGGCCGGCACGAGACCTACCTGTGCTACGTGGTGAAGAGGAGGGACAGCGCCACTTCTTTTTCGCTGGACTTTGGCCACCTACGCAACAAGGTACGGTCGGGGTCGGTGGCTGCTGATGCTGAGGTGTGGGTGTCGCTGGTGCCAGCAAAGGGGAGAGAGAAAAAGCCCCTGTGCTCCCAAGCTGACAATCCTCCTGCCTCGATGCTGCAGTTGCTGTGGTTACAGGCGTGTGCACACACTGGGCCTTTTCGGGTTATGTACTGTCTCCACCAGGTTCCTCCAGTTCTTTTCTCAGTCTGTTCAACCACGGTAGACCCGGCCTGAAGGTTGTTAGTCAGCCATGCTGGGAAGGCTCACATCACACCTCCCTTCAGTGACAGGAAGAATTGCCCCCAAATCTTCCTGTCTGTCGCTCCGGAGCCTCTGAATTGAGTTAAGACTGAAATAAAGGGGCTGGAGGGGCTTGGTGGTTTCTGGGGACCCTGGGCTTGATTCCCAGCCTCCGCATGGAAACTCAAAACCGTGTTCCAGAGGATCCGATGCTCTCTCCCAGCCTCCGAGGGCACCAGGCGCACGTGAGCACACCCAAGCATGCAGGAGAAACATCCATACAAATTAGACAAAAAAAGATTGAGCTAAAGTCAGGCAGTGGTGGCTCACCCCTTTAATCCCAGCACTCGGGAGGCAGAGGCAGGTGGATCTCTATGAGTTTGGGGCCAGCCTGGTCTACAGTGTGAGTTCCAGGACAGGCAGGGCTACAATAGAGAAACCCTGTAAAAGAAAAGAAAAAAAAGATTAAGGTAAACAGACAACTGTGATGGTTCACGTCTGTATTTCTAGCACTTGCAAGGCTGGGGCAGGAAGGCTGCCATCAGTTCAGGCCAGCCTGAGCTACATAGTGAGACCCTGTGTCAAAAAAAAAAAAAAAATCCAAAATAAATAAATAAAAACTAAGAGTAAGAGCATTTTGATCTAGGAAACATTTTTAAAATTTTAATTTCCACAGTGCCAGGGATGAAGTGAAGGATCTATCTGCCTTGCCAGACAAGTGCCCTGGCCCTGATCTCCATCCCTAACCACCTCTGGCCTCTCAGTCCTCAGGGCTTTCATCCCACAGTGCTGGGTTCTCCCTCAAGCACTTCCTTGAACGAGCAAAAACAAAGAGTGTCTTTAGAACTTTGGAAAGTCAAGGAGGAAAAAATATATATATTAGAAAAAAAAGATGACATGAACTCAACTCTGGTTTCGAGATGATTCTGTTTAACCGGGTGAGTCTCTTTAGGCCAGTTCCAGCGGCCTGAGAGAATTTCGTTTCCAGGAGAGCTCTTGCAGACCGGTTTCCACGTACTTGCCCCAAGGCCTTTCCTGGACTCCAGGGAAGAGACCCTGGGGTTGGCTATTCCCCAGTTTCCTTTGCCTGCCTCTTCAGGGGTAACTTACCTCACCACCATCATTTCACACACCATCTCCTCCCTCCTTGGAGCCATGACACACTGTGTTTATGGACCTTTTCAAGTGGTACTTTCTCTTACATCGCGCAGAGTGCTTGCACCACCATCTCGGTTTACTGCTAAGGAGAGAGGGCAAAAGAGATGGGTCAGGTTAAAAAACCATCTTCAGGCTTGGACTAACGGTCTTCCGCAACAGGAGGTGGACCTACCGAGGTTGCAGTTATCAGTCACAGAGACCACACAACCCACACACGTTACTTAATCGCTCTTCTCCGCTTCCAGGCCAAGGTAGAGACTCTGAAGTCACTTAAATAAGCTTTTCCCTCCAGGCAGCACCCTAACCCTCCTTACCAATTGTCCTGGCGCCACCTAGTGGCTAAGGTACAATTGCACAACATCGCATCCAAACACAAATTTAATCCTTGCGAGGAGCGTGATGATTCTTCTTCCGGTCGCAATTTATTTCATCCTCCACGGTTCCATAAATCCGCAGCCTTTCTTTACCCAGCGGGGTCCAGTGTAATAAAGAGATTTGGCTCCAGCAAGCGCCCCCTTCAGAAAATTAACTTGATGCTGGGTGGGGTGGCGCACACCTTTGATCCCAGCACAAGCGGACCTCCGTGCGTTCGAGGCCAGCCTGGTCTCCATGGCGAGTTCCAGGCCAGCATCCCAAATGGCCTGGGCTGGGTGGGTGAGCGTGCCCGTCCCGTCTTTCCGCAGTCGGGGTGCCACGTGGAATTGCTGTTCCTACGCTACATCTCCGACTGGGACCTGGACCCTGGCCGGTGTTACCGCGTCACCTGGTTCACCTCCTGGAGCCCCTGCTACGACTGCGCCCGGCACGTGGCCGAGTTTCTGAGGTGGAACCCCAACCTCAGCCTGAGGATCTTCACCGCGCGCCTCTACTTCTGCGAGGACCGCAAGGCGGAGCCCGAGGGGCTGCGGAGGCTGCACCGCGCCGGGGTCCAGATCGGAATCATGACCTTCAAAGGTGAGAGCTGGGCACGGAGAGGGCGGTCTGGATTACGGCTCCGGGAGAGGAGGGCGAGCGGGGAGACTGGGGCGGGGTGCTGTGTGCAGGCTCTGGGTTCGTCCTCCAGGTCAGAAGTAGTTGGCTTTGGAGACAAATCCCAGGCTTGCCTTCAACCTGCAAGTCTCCAGCCTCTGCTCTCTGGGTTCTGGGATTATAAGTGTGCATCAACCTCAGAACAATCAGAATGTGGGAGATAGAAGGGGGGAGGGGGTTGGCTGTGGGTGCGTTCGCTATGATGATGATGATGATGATGATGATGATGATGATGATGATGATGATGATGGCGGCGGCCAGCGAGACGGCTCAGTGGGAGCACTTGCCTTAGTGACTTAAGTTTGATCCCTGAAACCCTGCATGTCGGAAGAAGAGCAACGAACCTCACAAACCGTTCTCTGTCTGCCCTTCTGACCTTCACCCCCATACTGTCGTGACCTGCACACACACACACACACACACACACACACACACACCTCCTTCTTATTTATTTATTTTTTTTCTTTTAAGACTATTTCTACTGCTGGAACACCTTTGTGGAGAATCACGAAAGAAGGTTTAAAGCCTGGGAAGGGCTGCATGAAAATTCCGTCCGGCTTACTCGACAGCTTCGGCGCATCCTTTTGGTAAGAGTATCCTCGCCCCCCCCCCCCCCCCCCCCCCCCCCCCCCCGCCTCTCTCCCTCGCCTGGAGCCTCTTAGGTACTTATTTCTATCACTCCTTTTTTCATGTGGCAAATACTCCACAGCGCCCACAATCCAGTTTTCTCTTCTGTCTTTCCACACGTCAGAGCCCCCACTTGGGCTTCTTGTTCTTGCCATCTCTTCGCCCAGTCCTCACAACTCTCTCTCCTACTCTCCCCTTCTTTTTTCCTGGTCCCCATCCCCATTTGCTTTCCTCTCGAGCCACCCACTTCCTTCATCCGCTTTCTCTTCCCCTCCCCCCCCCCCCCCCCCACCCCCGGCTCAACTCTGAAGCCGGTCCCTCGGCTGACATCGCTCTTCCTCTGCAGCCCCTGTATGAAGTCGACGACCTGCGAGATGCATTCCGTGTTCTGGGACTTTGATGATGGCAGCCTCCCAGGGCGCCACGTGATGGGATTCCTCTGCTGAAGAGAGCGGGTGGGAAACCATCCTCCGAGCTGCCTGTTTTTCTTCTTAAGCACCCACGTTCGTGGAGCGTAGGCGTGAAACTGTCTATGACTTTTTAAAAACCCTTGAGAGCCGCAGCGTGGCCTAGGACATCCAGCGTGGTGAGGCGACTGGTAGCTCCGATTGCAACATCGCCATCTACCGGGGAACCGCCGAACGTCAGGACGTTGGACCAACAGTTAAGAGATGCTCCTCTCTGACTTCTCAGCAGGATGGAAACAGAAGGCATATACGCTTAGAACGGCGCGTGGAGACGATCACGCGGTTTGTTAAACCTACCCACACAGTCTTTTCTATTATTATTCACTTGAATTGTGAAGGGCATCAGTGACAGATCTTTCTACTCTTTTCCTTTGAGGCTCACTTTCAAGGAACCTCTTCTGACGAGGCCGTGGACTGTGGGCTGTCCTGATGAGGGAGTCTGAGTGATACATAGCAAACCATTCTCTCCACAGCATTAACAGGCAGGCACGTGCTGTATGTTTTCATTGTCTGTCGTGTTTTTCACATTTGTGTTCGAGAGGGCTTGGGGTGGGGCTGGAAATACACATGATCACCCCTGGGTCATTTTAATAAAGGTCTCAAATGCAGATGAGGATTATGAAGAAATCACCGTGAAAATGAGTTGATGCCCCCCAGGGAGCAGATCCTCTGGGAACACAGACTCTTTTTATTTTTTTTTAAATGTAATTAGTTTATTTACAATCTTATCTAGTATAAGAGTTCAAGAGTTTAATCCAATTTTCAGATCAGGTCTCTTAAACATTTGTCATTCAGTTAAAGGGATCAGTTAAACATCCTCATTTTTTAAGTAGTTGGTGCCTTTGCTATAAAGAAAGGAGCAGAAAATCCACGTCCAAATCACGCAGTCATCGTAGCCTGTTTCCTACTGAAAAATGGACCATTCTTCCCCGGGCTCAGATGGACCACAGAAGTGGTGAACCTTGGGAGACTCTGGCCCAACATGGCTCTTTGGGAACTTCTGTAAGGGGCACAGAGATCGAAGACAGCAGAAATGGCCACACGACCCTGGTCTCCTTTCCTCACGACCTTGGGAACTGACCCTTGAAGGAGCCTGTGGTTTAGAACCACCACCAACGTCTACCGATGGACACCTTGGCGTTGCTTGAGTATCGAGAAGTAATTTATTTTCCTTGACGGTGGCCAAAGATGTTAAACAAAATTCTCTAGTTTTTATATGTGTGGGATGCTGCTCCCCCAAACTGTGAACTGTATGAGAGGGTGACAAAATAGAATCATATCTGATGCCAGGCAAGGCGGCACTCATCCGTAGTTCCAGCATCCGGGGGGCTGAGGCAGGAGGATTGAACGTTTGAGACCCTGCTTCAAATAGTGTGGCGGAGGTGGTTGGGAGTCTGTGGGGTAACCAATAGTTAACAAGGAAAAAAGTGAAAGCCCACGGCAAGGAAATTATGCTTTACCCAACCAAATGGAGGGAGCCAGCATAGACTCCCTGTTTGTCCCTCTTTAAGCCTTGTCTCCCTAACAACTCCGTGTGAGGAGAAAAAAATATTCAGAATAAACAGCCCTTGTAGTTATTTTCTCGTTACCCTCATAACACGGTTCAAAGACCCACGGGAAATTCTAAACACACAACTGTATTGACTGTATGGAAGTCGCTGCAGAAGAGTAGAAGAAATAAAGATCGTTAATTGCTTCCTGTACGCGTTCAAGCTTTATATTATGCTGTACGGCAGGCAGTGACGTTCCTGCCATCGTTCGTTTCCTCTTCCGAAATGTTCAATTTCTGAAGCCTCAGAAATTTGAGGCTTTAGAAATCACTCTAGCTGTCCACATAATTGTGACCATCTGAAATCGTAATGACATTGCTCAGCAGCTATTCTCTTGATTTTTAGGAACTCCCCCACCCCACCCCCCACACACAGCAAATTTATTCTGTCTCATTTTAAAGCAACTGAATAAGTGATTCATCTATGACCAGTTTATTTCTGACAAAGGTACAAGGCATGTTGAGTCCTGTCAGCAAATGTGCTGGAACAATTTGACATCAGGAGCTAAAGAATGTATTTGACGCCAGGGGTGGTAGCACTCAGCTGTAATCCCAGCACTTTGGGAGGCAAGAGGCAGGCAGATTGCTGTGAGTTCGAGGCCAGCCTGGTCTACAAATTTAGTCCAGGACAGCCAAGGCTACAGAGAGAAACCCTATCTCGAAAAAACAAAAATCAAAAACAAGCAAACAAAGAAAAGATCAGTAGTAGTTGAGGCCAGCTTAGACATAAGAAAGACTCTGTCTTAAACAGAACAAATAAAAAGAGTAGATTTGGGCCTCTTCCACATGTTATATACAGGAACAGAGAAAGGACTTCCATGTAGGAACTGAAAGTTTAAACCTCCAGCATGGCGTAGCTGGAAGTCTTCCTGACTTTGGACTAAGGAACTGTTCCCTCGCCACCGGGATGGCCGTCCACTCAGCACGGTGTCCACAAGGCAGCAGAGCGACTGGAGCTTGTGGGAGCACGGGAATGTAAAATGGCATAACCACTGTGGGAAGCATCTTGGCAGATCCTCCGAAGTTAAGCGGAGAATGCTGTATGACCCAACAATCCTGCCCCTGAGTTACAAACACAAGGAGTTAGCTGGCTCAGTTGGTGAAGTGTTTGCTCGGCAAGCACAGGGACCGGGGTTTGACCCCCAGGACCCCTGTAAGAAAGCTGGGCATGGTGATGCATGATCCCAGGACTCAGGACAGAGACAGGTGGATCCCTGGTTAAACAAAAAGTTTGTATGTAAATATTCAAAATAACATTACGCACAATAGTTCCCGCAAATGACACATTTAAACACTCGTCAGCTGCTGAGTGCATAAATATAGTGTGACCCATCCACAGTAGAAATTCAGTTTATTTGGCCATGAAAGGAGTGACTGTACTGATGAGCTGAAACAGAAATCTACCTTGCAAGTATGATGCTGGGCCAGCAGGATGGCTCAGTGGGTAAGGACCTCGTCCGGCAAGCCAGACACCCTGAGCTGGCAGAAGAGGGAACCAAGTCAAAGCTGTCCATCCTCTGAGCTTCCCACCAGCATCACGGCTCGGGAGCATCCCCACCTACATACAGTAGGTTAATGCAGCTTTAGAAGGAAAGGGAATTGCTTAACCTCCAACAAAAGTATCGTGCTCTGTGAGAGAAACACAGCCAACCCCACACACTGTATGGTTCCAGGTTATCTTCAGCTGCACAGTAACGCTAAGACTAGGATCAATCCGGCGTGTCTCTTCAACAACAAAAAGATCAAACGATTAAAACACAATACTAAACTTCCATTTCATTCGTTAGTTACTTAGTGAGATGCGTGTTCTGGGTCTAAAGGCCTGTACCACTGCACCCAGCTTCTGCCTTGTCTGAACAACCATGGAGAACAGGCCTGTCAACCTGAGGTTTAACACTTCTTAGCTGTAACTCCTTGGAGGACTACATTTTCATGAGGTGCAATCATTTTATGTTTTGTTTGTGTGTGTGCTTTAAGAGTACTGAGGCAGAGGCAGGCGGATCTCTGTGAGTTCCAGGTTAAGCCTGGTTTACAAAGTGAAACCCTGTCTCAAAAAACCAAAATTAAAAAGAAAAAAAAAAAGTAAGAGAGATGGAAGCAAACTATTTCAGAGGCAGGAGGATCTTTGTGAGTCCAAGGCCAGCCAGGTTTACAAAACAAGTCCAGGACAGCCAGGGCTTATTATACAGAGAAACCCTATCTTGAAAAAAAAAAAAAAAAAGAAAAAAAGAAAAGATTATTGCTTCCAGGTGTGGTGGCTCACACTTGTAATCCCAGCACTCAGAAAGCTTAGACAGGAAGTTCAGGAGTTCCCAGCCAGCCTGAGCTATATCGCAAGATCCTTTGGACTCTCCTTCCTCTCTCTAGTCAAACACACCCCCTTCTACTGGTCCCCGAGCCTGCATCCAGCCCCTGTAAGGAGGGACAAAGAACAGATACTGAGGCAGCACCAGCCGTCCTCAGCACTGTTGGCTGCCTCTGCTATTTAACGCAGCGATGTAAATGCTGGGAGTTGTTCTGGGCTCCATCCTACACGGGTATGCAAGCTGAAAGTAACATCTGCCTTACCCTTGGCTCCTGAAGCCTTAACAGCACACTGAAATATCCTTCCCTCCAAATGATGAACTCCTGCCGTGTCTCAAAAGCTGGGAAGAGCAAGGCTGCCCTACCCGTCCATTTTATAAAAACGGGATTCTAGCTGGAGGAGGTGAGTCTACCCAGGAAACCTAGCAAGCATGTGACTAGAGAAAGGTTTATACAAGCCAAAAACATAGTGAAGAGTCCCTGGGCTAGCCACTGCTAAGAACTGTGGTCACCTTCTCTGAAAGGGACGAGGCAGGGTTTGCTGTGAAGAGAGAGCCACCTGGAGAGGAACCTTGCCTGGAGCCATGAGCCATCTGGGAGATAGGCACAAAGCTGCTCGAGCTGCTGAGCTGCTGTACATAGCAAGATGTTCAAGTCTTCAGACCGTGAAACCTGCTCCGCACAAATTAGCACCTTTGAGTGCTAATCAAATATAATCGGCCCCTAGGGTTTTACAACGGGTCATGGTCCATGGGATTAGGTTTCTTTCTCGTTCCAATTTAAGCCTCACAGGGGTGTCACGTGTCTTTATTAGACATGGGATCTAAATAAGAAAGGAAGCTAAAGATGCAGAAGACAATGATGTACAGAAAGGCTCCACAAACGTCCCACAAAGTCAGTCCATAGAAATAAAAAACCGGGAAAAGACCTGCAGTGGCCTTCCACTGTAGTATCAACCCTAGACTTTGTTTCCCCAGGTTTCCATGGTGTACTCCACTGAAATTCTGTTTACTCCCAATGGGATGTTTTTACACAAGACAACATTTCATAAAATACGATGTGAAATAAACATAGCAGTGACAGCCAGGAGTGGGGGTGAGGGGTGTGGCCTGAGGTTTTAATCCCAACACTCTGGAGCCAGAGGCAGGTGGATCTCTGAGTTCAAGGTCAGCCTGATCTATGGAGTGAATTTCAGAACAGCTAGGGTTACAAAGAGAAGCCCTGTCCTGAGAGAAAGAAAAAAGAAAGAAGGAAGGAAGGAAGAAAATGACATGACGTAGCAGCAAAGGAAAGGAAGGACATAGGTCCAGCCGATGTCTGAGGTAGCTCAGCTGTCCCATCACTTAATTACTTAATTTATTCAAGTTACCAGGAATCTGTCTTCAGCGCAGCCCTTAACAGGCTCATTCAGGATTCACTAGACATGGGCCATTGTATTATAAAGTAGTTGTTGCAGGAGTTGACGGTGTAGCTCAGTGGTAGAGTACTTACCCACCAGTACAGTGCCTGTGCGCAGAGGCAGGAGGAGCATGAGATTGAGGCCAGACCTTGTCTAAACAAAACAATGAAAGAAGAAGGGAAGGACAAAAAAAAAAAAAAAAACTAACAAAATAAAAGCGGTTCTTCCAGGAGACACCGGTATTTGAGGCGTAGTGTAGCTCTGAGATTTATTTGTGTTTATTTATTTCTATTTTGAGACAGTGTCTATAATGTAGCTCAGGCTGGTCTCATACATGCTGTGGAGCCAAAGACAACCTTGAACTCCTGACTCTCCTGTCTCCACCTCCCAAGTTCTGGGTTTATAGCCTATGGCATCACTCTGGGTTTCTACGGTAAGCTAGGCAAGCACTCTCTCAACTGAGCTCCGTCTCCAGCCCTGAGAATTTATGAACCGGTTCTCAGGATGCTTGCGGTGACCACTGAGCCTGGGCATCATCTTCATTACCGAGGACCAGATTAGCACCCTTCTAACTATAGTGTGTAAACACTATGTACCTTCTGTGGGCCGGTCAGACTCCATCGACCAAGTCTACACACCTGTGCACACATCTGGGCATTGGCTCTGGAGTTATTCAGGAAGTGACTCACACATATTGGTTCCTCTGTCACCAGCCCCTGCTGTATTTGTTTACTCTTTAGTAACTGAGCAAGGACTCAGAGCAACCCAGCTCACAAAGACATCACTGTAAAGTGAGTGTGTGTATTTCAGGATGGAGGAGAAGGCACAGGAAAATATTCAAAGCATCAATCCCCATTAGAGTCCCTGTTTAATGAAAGGTCGAATTGCTTAACATCCACAGGCTGAGCCGGGGCTGAGGCTGACTTCCTCCAAGGGGGTAATTTTTGAACTGTAAAATCCGGAGGGAACTTTCATGTAGAAAGAAAGTTGCCAGAAGTGCCGTTTCGTTTGCAAGCAGCTTGCTTCCTCTTTCCGGGGCAGAGGGACTTAGTTCATTCAGCAGCTGGGTGACCTCGGTCGAAAATCGTTTGAACTTTCTGTGTTTGCATTTTCTCCTTTCCAAAGTTAAGACAGCAATAGGTCGGGGATCTGGGAAGAGTAAGTGACTTTGCCCTTGGCCCATGACAAAGGCCATATAGATATCTGCAGGACTTTTTTTCTCCCGCTCACTGCAGTACATAAAATCAAGAATGCATAAACCTGACGGCATTGTTTATGAGTCTTCCTGCTCACACTGAGTTCCTAGGGAGTGTCCAAGCCCTCCAGTTACATTTGGGGGCGGGGGTGGGGGAGGAAACACTTAATCTATGACTTTGTTGCTTATGTTTCACAGCCCGATGACTTTATTACCCTCATTTTATTGAGGAGGAAACAGAAACAGGTGACCAGCTTGCCCGAGGGCCCTCAGCAGTAAGAAACAGAGCAAGGGTTTGACAGGGTTATCCTGTCAGCTACCACAGTGTGCTTGAACACTTTATTGTATCACGTAGTGTTTAAATATTGTAGCTGGAGCTGTATCCAGCCGGCTCTAGAGCATCGCCAGACTGCTTACCATCTTAGTTTGGTCAGGGCTGGTGTGGTATGGGTTGTTAAGTGTGTTGTGATGGCCACTCCTGACTGGAGATGGTAGTTTCTTCCTCAGGGAGTGGGGGGGAGGGGTGCAGCAGGGTGGGGGAGGGGGTCAGAGAACCTGCACACCTCGGGAAGTCCCTCAGCTATTCTCCTGCTGCTGGTCTCTCTCTTGTCTCACTGTCGCCACCACTCTCTCTCCATCTTGCCCTTGTTCTGTCCTGCTTCCCTAGCGCTGGTGGCGTCCAGTCTGCTCCTCTTCCTTTCATGCTCTGGACTTTTCCAGACGCCCCTGGGTACTTTCTCTCCCTTAGCCACAATAAAAAAAAATGTAACCATGGAGTGGCCTTTTCAACAGTTTCTCTACTGTGTCTACTCACAAATACCTGTGAGTAGAAACCTAGGAGGGGCACAAGGGACACCCCTTCTTCACCGGGGCCCGGCCTCCTCTAACCGAACCAAGATGCTGACTTGATTCTGCCCTGAGGTGGAGATGATGTGTTTCTGCTGGCTCCTGCCACCCACACATTCAACTCCACACTGAACAGACTGCCTCTTCCGCCACTTCTCCCCCACCTAGCCCAGCGACTGTCTCGCTGGGGAAGTGTCTCTCGGGGAGCTGCCTGTTCTTTCTCCGCTCCTTTGAGCATACTGCAAAATCATGCGGGTGCATCAGGCAGCCTCCCTACTGTTAGGATTTAGGCAGCCCACTTCTGGGTTGCCTAGCAACCTTTGATGTCATCAGTTGCTCCATAAAAGGACCAACACACCACTCCTCCTGCCTTCTTGCTCTTGCGCTCTCTTGCTGGCTCCTGCTCTCTCCGCTTTCTCTGTCAGGTTGCTTCCTCCCTTCCCCCTATCATGTCTTGCTCTCTCCTTCTCTCTCTCTCTCTCCAGCCAATAAACCTCTTTGATATATCTGTCGTGGGTACCATCATTTCACCTACACCTTTCGGGTACCCCTTCACAGGGAGGAGGGACATCCCTCCTGGGACACCGATCCTGATAAGTTTCAGTCCTCTTGGGGATGCCTTCAGACTGGAATTCTGTCCTGTGACACTGACCCTTCACTGTTTCTCTGACACTGTGTCGGAATCCTCCTTCTGGTGGTATTCCTTCTTGAAACCCTCTAAGCCTCTCCCATCTTTTTAACTCTGCCCCTGGATGCCTCCCTGCCTTCTCTGTCTCCCAGCTCTCTCTTAGCTCGCTCTGCCTCTAACAGACAGGCAGCCCAATGGCTGGCCTCCAACTCACATCCCCGTACCTCAGCCTCTTGAGTACTGAGAGCACACTACCAAGCCTAATGCAAACCTTTCTGTAAGAGCAAGTGATGATACACAGTTGTGATGTCTTTCAGGATAGAAGTGCGTGACTAGAGTCAAGGAAATGTGTTCAAAGCCTGAAGAGGTTCTGTGGCAGGAAGCGGCCAGAAAGGGAAAGGAGCAGAACCTAAGACAGAGTGAACTGGGGAGAGACCACAGCTGAGGTCTGGATTCCAGACCGGGTGGTGGATGGATAAAAGACAAAAAAAAAAAAAAATGTTGAGGCTGGGGAGTTCAAGGTCATCCACGACCACATAGTGAGTTGAAAGCTTTTTGAGACCTTGTCTCAAAATGGAAACAAATCAGAGCAAGAAGATGCTGTTTTTTTTACTCCAATGAAGCAGTCACTCCTGATCCCCACTAGGATTAACTTTCTTTTCTCATTTTACCTCACAAACTCCAACGGGTGTCAAACAAACACAATAGCAATTGATAAACCGTTCTTTCACTGCAGTTTTAAAAACAATGTATAGCCGGGTGGTGGTGTATCTTTCATATTAGCACTCGTGAAGCAAGGCTAGCCTGGCCTAGAGAGCTAGTTCCAGGACAGCCAGGGCTACGCAGCGAAACCCTTGTCTCAGAAAAAAGACAGCTTGGTGGGAGGTGGGGGACATAATTTGCCTGTTTGAACTGGCCATCTGCATTCACTCTCCAGAATGATAGAAAGAGGAGAGGGAGAACCCTGAAAATTGTCCTCTGACCTCCACAGGAGTGCCACGGTGTCCACACACGCAATGCTAACAGTGAATAAGTACAGGCGTTTTGGTTTTTATTTTCATGAAAATGCATAGATAGATTTTTGTCAGAAGTTAGGAAGGTCCCGGGGACTGCTGGCATGCCATGACAGCCTTTGGAGGGTGAGGCAGGCAAGTGACTGAGCCGGTCTGAGTGACTCCACCATGCAAGCTGGCATGAGGTGTTGTCTGCTGGCTCCTGGCATAACCCGATGGACTTGGCACACCGAAAGTCGTAACTGTCGAGGCTGATGTCAGACTTAATGTGTCACTCAAGACGACTTTGAATTATCATTCTCCTGCCTCAACCACTCCATTACTGGGCTTACAGGAATGGACCAACTTACCTGACTCTTCAATTTCTAAATTGTTGATTTGGGGGTGGGGGTTGTTTTTTTAGACAGCATCTACTGCATAGTCCTAGGCTGGCCTGGGGGGGGGTCTTGCTATATAGACCAGGCTGGCCTTGAACTCACAGAGATCTGGTGCCTCTGCCTCGCAAGTTGTTGGCATCACAGGAGTGTGCAACCATTCCTGGCTCAATTTCTATATTCTCTGCTTTTCTGGACTTTGAACCCAGAGCCTCGTGTGTGTAACTAGGGCTCTACCCACGGACGACAGCTCCCACTCAGTTTCTAGATTCTTCATGGCAGTCGCTCTTTAGTGGGCCATCATTGCTCTTGTCAAAACAGTACACTTGCTGTCATTGTGTTCGTCTCCATCTCCCAGGGTTCATTTCGACCCTGTAGCCTAGAAGATGTAGTACGGCAGCCTTTGGAAATGGCAGTGTTGAAAAGCAAGATTAAAAATTGTGAGCTGATTTTGGTTTCTTCTTAAAATCTTTAAGCAGGGTGGAAGTCCCTGAAACAGACAAAGAAGATTATATTTTTATCCTCAGTAATAATTAACCATTATTATTGTGAACAATTTAAACATTTCTCTCGGAATTCAACCGAACCGAACTGCCATTTGGACCAAGAATCCAAACGAGGCACCTTCTCTTCGATCATTGTTGCTGACTTCCCCCGCTGTGGGAATAAGACCCCTAGGCCCCGGGGTAAATGTGACCGAAATGGCAATAAAGGTAAAAATGGAATCTCTGTGCGTCCCAGACACTTCTCACACCGACTGACCCATTTCCTCCCCTCCCCCCCCCTTACTTCCCACTAAAGGAATCTTTTGTGTGGTGTGTCTTTGACGGCGGCAATGGTACAGATTTTTGGAACACAGCCTAGATTTATAGCCCAGGCTGGCCTTGAACTCGGGATCCTCTTGACTCACCCCCCCGAGTGCTGGGATTGCAGGCGTGTGTCACCATGCCTGGTTTCAGAACATTGTTTTTCCTTTTTAACATGAGTTAAATAACTTATTTAGTTAAATAAATAAATGTAAGTATAAATTAAAAATGTGATGAGAGTATATGGGAAATTTTTCAGAAGAGAAGCACCAAGGGATACACGCTTTTGTATCAAAACTTTTGTCTCTTAAACAAACTGACAAGAAAGTTGTTGGGGGATAGGGGCATACACGCACCTTAGTCCCAGTACTTGGGACAAAAGGCAGGCAGATCAGCCAACCAAGGTTATATAGTGAAACCCTGTCTCAAAAACAAACAAACAAACAAACAAACAAACATCTTGTGAGAGGCTCTGGAGAGACAGCCCAGGGGTTGTGAGCACTGCGGTGGTTTGAATGAAATATCCACCATGGGTTGGTATATTTGAACACTTGGCTCCTACGTGGGGCTGAGATATAATCTCTCGTCTTTCTGTATCTGCGACCGTGTCTCCTCAGAGGTATGGGCTCTACCTTCCTTCTATCAGCTGCTCTTGCTCATGATGTTTTATCACACGACTGTGATATAAAGGATCTCACTGATGCAAGTAACTGATACTCATGCAGGCTGACCCGGGGTTCAGTTCCCAGGACCCGCCTCAGGGGCCTCCCAACCACCTCTAACCCCAGCTCCAGGGGATCCTAGGTAGGCAGCTGCACACTTGTGGCACCCTTTCAAAAACACACACGGGCACACTGGAGGAGGAGGAAAAGGAGAGGGAGGAGGAGGAGGAACTTACTAGGGAGCATGGTGACACAAGACTATATATAACCCCAGGACTCAGAAGGTGGAGACAGGAGAACCAGGAATTTAAGGTCATCCTCAACTACATAGTAAGTTCAAGGTCAGCCTAGACTATTTAAGACCTTGTCTCGAAAACAGAAACAAACGAAAAGCCAAAGTCACTTACTAAAAGGATGCAGTAGAGTTCCAGGACATACATCCTCACCCACAGATGTGGGTACCTTGGCCAGTGAGCCTCGTTCGAAGGTGAGTAGTTGACAAAATTCCTCCAGCAGTAGTAACACTCTAGAGAAACACAGAATTTGATTCGTTTAACAAATACGACGGTAAATGGCTCAAAATTACCTGGGCAGAGTGGTTCCTGCCTGCAACCGGAGGTATTCGGCAGGCTGAAGCAGGGAAACTGCAAAAATCAAGGCCACCCTGAGCTACATGGCAAATCCAGGGTAGCAACTTACAGACCCTGCCTCAAATACAGTTTAAGAGAACAGGGACGTGGCTCAGTAGCAGAGAGCTTATCTCGCAGGTAAGCTTAGCACGTACAAGCTCTGGCTTCAATCCCCAGTAGCAACGACCACAAGCATGCACTCTACATAAAGGCTCTTCCTATTTACTTCAAGAGGTGGTCATATGTAGAAAGACTTTTAATTCAGAACATGGAGGCTCTGGCAAGAGATCACAGCCAATGACCTTTCAGGTCTGTGTGCTCTGGTTGGAATACAAACATGCCTTTAATCCAGGAGACAGAGGCAAGAAAGTCTGAGTTCAAGGCCAGCCTGGTATAGAGCAAGCTTCAGGTAAAGGAAAGCTTAGGCCTGGGTGTGGTGGTACACGCCTTTCATCTCAAACAATAAAGGTAAAGTTAGAAGGAATCAACCATGTTGAAAAGGTTGTCTAATTCAGGGGCAGAAAAGGTGACTAATCAAAGTTGACAGAATAGGATACACCCAACTCTGAAGGGAAGCTACTTAAGGGGCAACACAGAGAATGGGGGGGGGGGGGGGAGGCAGTTTCACTAGGAAAGTAATATATATAGAGAGAGGTTGAATGTGAGAACAAGCTAGACATAGGTGAAGGCAGAATAAGCCAGAGAATGAGGAGCTAGAAGACTGCTGGAGGTTAGTTTGAGGCCAAGCGGAGCAATTCAGAGGCCTAGAGAAAAGCCACATTGAGTAAATCAGCTAGGAGAGGAGTTTGAACCAAAATGGCTGTGCTGAACCAGCCAGCCCAGAGCTCAGGAAGAAGAAAGGGTGAGCTTATAGAGCAGGAAGTCTCAGAGGCTGCAAACATTCTAGGCCTAGAATAGATTGGGCCTAGGTCAGATTGTACAGAGCCTAATAGTTCCAAGGACTAGGTTAGCAGACCGAGCCTGTAAGAATGAAATTCCTTCTACAGTCGTACTCCCTAAAAGGAATTTAAGAGGCCTGGGAGAAAGAGGTACCCAAAGAGGAAGGAATAACTATTGTCCACCCTTCCCTTATGGTGAAGGTCAATCCTGGTCCTCCCTCCCTCCCTTTAGGATGGACTTTGACTTCTGGGTGTCTGTTCCCTTCCCATCACCACTCTCTCGTGAGAATTCTGTTTCTACCTTGCTCCGTCATGATCCGGATAGTCACACCTCTGCGACAGAGGTCCCTGAGCCCTTGCCGGTTTCGCTCATCCGTGTGGTAATAAAGCCGTGCCACGTAGATGAACAGAGTCACGTTGGGGTACCGACTCAGAAATTCTGCAATGGCTCTGCAGCATTCCCCGCAGGGACTCCAGGACAGGAACCAGGTGATAGAGCATCTGGTGAACGGACAAAAGTATCTTTCCGAGGTAAATTTTTCTATGAAATTGATTTCCACGTGTTTGTCGGTGTTCTGGCCCGTGTGCCGCCAGACGCTGCGCCTTCCGCCCCAGTTGATCTCATAGAGCAGGCAGGTCTCCTTCCGAAGTAACTGAGGGTCAAAGAAGGCTCCGAACTCCTGGGGTTCGATTCTTCTCCTGAAAAGTAAAAAGACTCCCATGCAGTCTAAGAAAACTAAGAGATGGCTCGTGCCTTAAAATAAAATAAAATAAAATAAAAAAATACAAATGCTAGATCTTACATACTCCAGGCCAGCTGGGAGAGCTGAAGATGACCTTGATCTTTATTCTATTTTTATTTTATTTCTGTGTGTGTGTGTGTGTGTGTGTGTGTGTGTGTGTCGTAGTCATACATTGACACATATATGTGCACACGCACTTGCTCATTTGTACACACGCAGAGGCTAGAGGTCAATGCTGGATGCCTTCCTCTGCCGTTCTCTGCCTCATTTTTTTCTTTTTCAAAACAGAGTCTCTGGATGAACAGGAGGACATTCCCGACCAGCGTATTGGTGAGCAAGCTTCCTGGAGCCACTTAGGGGGAGTTTACACGAACACGCCACCAGGCCTGGCTTTTCTGCAGTCCAAAATCGTGTACTTGTGCTTGAACAAGTAAGCATTGCACCCCATGAGCTGTCTTCCTGGCCAGACCTTGAACTTTTGATATTCCCGCTTCTACCCAAAGGACTGCAGTTACTGTTGTGTGGGAGCCCAGGGCTTCCTGCCTGCAGCAAGCACTCACCAACTGAGATACCTCTCTGTCCTTCTCTCTGGAAAGTTTATCGTTCAAATTTCCAGGAACGGTGGCACGTATAATCTCAGCACTAAGGAGGCCGAGACGGGAGGATGACAACAAATTGGAGAGCAGCCTGGGTTACATAGCAAGACTCTGTCTTGCTCTCTGACCTCCACGCTTGTGCCGAGGTGCTCGTGCACACACACACACACAAATTAATAATAGTAAATATAAGAAAAAAGAGAAGCTGGAGGAAGAGACGGAGCAAGGGAGGGGGTTTTGAGGGGAGTAGTGTTCCTTAGGTTTATTGCGCACAGGTTCCTCTGTGTCTGAAAGCTATGACTCTCAACTCAGGACTGTACTGAGTGAGGGCCCTCTCTGCAGCACGAGGCCATTAGTGTTTTTAATCCTAATTGTTCCCCCCCCCGCCCCCAGTCCCTGAACTATCATGTTACGCACGGATGAACCCTTCTAGCTAGGCACAGTACTTGGAAGACCGGAAAGACTGAAACAAGCGGGTCTCGAACTCCAAGCTGATGTGTACGACAGTGTGAGACCCTGTCTCAAAAAACCTGACAGAGTGGGAGAAAAATGTAGAGGGAGCAGCATGGGAAAAGCTGGAGGGGAGAAAATCTGCGAGGATATGATCAAAACGCATTATATGCGTGTACAAAGTTCTCAAACAATGACACTGTCAAAAACCGAACAAAGAAATGGGCGCTGTGTTCTATTCCCAGCATGCATATGGCAGCTCACAACCGTCCCTAACGCTAGTTCAAGGGCTCTCACACCCGTTTCAGACCTCTGCAGACACTACACACACATACACATACGATCACACAGACACAAACACATAAAGAGTTAAACAAAAATAGATATTTAAAAGCTGGACATCAGTGGTGCTTGCTTTTAATCCCATCACTGGGGAGACAGAAATAAACGGATCTCTGTGAGTTCAAGATTTCAGATGGGGCTACAAGAAGAAGGAAGAGAAAGGAGAAAAGCAGAAGAGGAGGAAGAGTTAATCCACTTAGTCAATCACCTGGCCGAGGGCCCACCCCCTTAGGAAAGAGGGACCACCTTAAACCACGCCAAAGAATAGATTATGTCAGCCGGGCTTGGTTACACACAGCTGTAATCCCAGCATTCGGGGAGGCAGAGGCAGGCAGGTCTCTGTGAGTTTGAGGCCAGCCTGGGCTACAAAGTGAGTCCAGCACAGTCAAGGCCACACAGAGAAGCCCTGTCAACAAAAAAAAGACCTTATTATGTGCCAAAAGAGATGGCTCAGTGGTTAAAGTGGTTAAGAGCACTGGCTGCTCATCCAGGGGACCCAGGTTCAAACCCTAGCACCCACATGGTCTGTCTATAACTCCCACCCTCACACAGACATACATGCAGGCAAGACACCAATGCACATGAAATAAAAATAAATAATTAAAAAATAAAATAAAGGGCTCCTGGGTGGAGGATGGGGGTCACATACCTTTGACCTCAGGAGACAGAGGCTGGAGGAGCTCTGAGTTCGAGGCCAGGGTGTTCTACAGAGCAAGTTCAAGGACAGCCAGAGCTATACAGAGAAACCATGTCTCAAAAAGCCAAAAATTAAATCATCATCATCATCATCATCATCATCATCATCATCATCATCATCAACATCATCAAGCTAATGGTAGGGAACATGAAAATGACTGTGTTTTTCCAAATTTTCTAGTCATTGCATTTTGTTAATAGTGCTAATAAAATTTTTGTAAGTGTATTTAATCTTGACTGGGGAAGGCTTCCTTTTTCTTGTCTCCTGCTCCTTTCTTCCAGATGCTGGTCAGAGCCTAAGCAGGCTTGCCCTAGTGCAGTAGGCTTGGCATTTTCTCTATAGCTCCCCTCAACAGCACGTGCGTGCATGCTCACCATGTGGCTGACCTCCAGGCTGACTTAACTCATCACATAACTTTTCTCTTTCTCCTCTATGTCTTCCCTTCTGGGCAGCCACTGAGACTTACAGCGTGTCTCTCCTGAGGCTTTTTTTTTTTTTTAACTCTCATAAAATCTTTCTTGCACTTTTTTTTCTGAGCTCGTTTTAAATCCTCTCATCAACAAGACTAAGAACCTCAAGAGGACACCCAGATTCCCTTAGCGGCATGTGAAGACTCTGGAGGGAATGCCTTGAATCTCCAGTAATATTGTGGAGTATCCACCAGAAAGGACCTCTTGGACCCGGGTCCAAGCCAATCGAAAGTACTTATTGATCACTACACTGGCTGTTCAAGACCTGAGTGTAGTCCCAAGCTTTTTTCAGGGCGAGCTTTTAAGCGTGAAACCCACATCCTGTGTTGACACACCTCAGTTAGCAAAAACAGTTAGCCAGAAGTTGAACTATAAAAGCCAAAAAGCAAGGTTCGTACATTTAGAAACTTTCCCAGAACTATGGACTTTGATGGATTAGGTTTTTGTTATTTCTTTGGCAGGTGTTGCTGCCTACAAGCAGGTTTCTCAGGCCTGAATGGTCCCTCCAACATGGCGTCAGTTTTGCTAGGGCCTGGGGGCCTGTTAGTGTAACAGAAACAAAGTCACAGGAGCTAAACCCGATCACAGTAACCACAGAAATTAAGCTGAAGAAACAAAAAGAGATGAAGAATGGTGACAATGAAAACACAAAACGAAATAAAACCTGCAGCCCCCTCCCATGACCCCCTCCCAGCTTCACTACGATCCGGACCACTTGGAGTCAGAACCCAGAGTGAGAACTTCGGATCCCCAAGGAGGTATCAGCAAAACTAAACAAGTCAATTAATAATGACTAAGAGAAGTCTGGGGGCTGAAGAGATGGCTCAGCGGTGAAATGCACTGGCTGCTCTTACAGAGGACCTGCCTTTGGTTCCCAGCCAGCACCCACATGGAGGCTCACAACCATCTGTGACTCCAGATCCCAGGATCAGACCACCCCCTTCTGACCTCATCCAGCACCTGGCATTCACATGGTGTATGCACACAGACATACATGTGAACAAAGCATTCATACACATATAAAAAGAAAAGTCTGCTGAAATCACGTCTAAGTGATCTATAAAAATCTGGTTTCTCAGTGACCAACGAGAGGGCCCTCAGCAAGAGGCAACAGACAGCTGCTCAAAAGCACTGATGGGAAGGCACAGGCTTATCAGGATCTAATCCTTAGCCCTGATCCTTCAGAACAAACACACAGCAAGCCAGACTTGGCACAGAGACTTGCGTTCCCTTGAGAACCACACATCCAAAAGAAGGATGCATTGGGTTTGAAAGCCGGATCGGTGGCCTCTACGTACCAGAAAAAGGCAAACGCGCCCCATGTGGTAGATAGTGGGCTTCTTGGAAAATGGTCGGAGGAAGAGGTGCTTCACCACACACATAAAAAGCCTTTCGAATTATCATAGATAGATAGATAGATAGATAGATAGATAGATAGATAGATAGATAGATAGATAGATAGATA